ATGCACTGGTCGTCACCCTCCGCGTCAAAGATTATGACGTCAAACGAATTCTGATAGACCAAGGTAGCTCATGTGAGATAATGCACTACGACACCTTCAAACAACTGAAATTGGAGGACAAAGACCTGGCACCAGTTGTATCCCCCCTGATTGGATTCAACTCAATGTCAGAATGGCCAGTTGGCAAAATTATCCTGCCAGTCAGGGCAGGGAGCGTGACAAAATAAGTGGAATTTTGGGTGCTGAAGGTCCCTTCCACTTACAACATAATCTTGGGAAGAACATGGCTCCATGCCATGAAATTAGTAGCATCATCCTACCATCAAGTAATGCGGTTTCCCAACGAAGCCGGAATAATTGAAGAGGTCTTTGGAGACCAAATTATGTCCAAACAATGCTTTGTCACGGCTAATGGCAGCCGCGCTGCCAAGGGATATGTTCATTCAGTGGAAGAACCTGAGAGTAATGAACTGTTCGCAGATGTCGGCAGAACAGCTGATCAAAAAGCGATGGAAGATTTGGTAGAGGTAAGAATAGATGAAAAGAACCCGGATAAGTTTTTTTTCCTCGGTTCGTCGTTGTCCAGCACTGAGAGATTAGAGGTCTTGGAATTCTTGACCTCTAACATCGAAGTGTTCGCCTGGACACCCTACAACATGCCTGGCATTGATCCAAACTTCATCTGTCACCAACTCAATGTCCACCCATCTGCCAGACCAATCATTCAGCGCACTTGCAGATCGGCACTCCACCACGCCGAAATAGTGGCAGAAGAAGTGGGAAACCTGCTGGAGGCAGAAGCAATCAGAGAGGTACATTACCCCAGATGGGTTTCCAACACAGTCGTGGTACCAAAAAAGAATGGCAAATGGCGTGTCTGCGTCGACTACAAGACAGTCAACAAAGCATGCCCAAAGGACAACTTCCCTCTACCACGGATAGATCAATTGGTAGACCTAACAGCGGGGCATAACCGACTTAGCTTTTTTGATGCGTACAGAGGTTACCATCAGATCGCCATGTACGAACCAGACCAGGAGGTCACGTCCTTTACAACTCCAAGAGGACTGTATTGCTACAAGGTCATGCCCTTTGGCCTAAAAAATGCAGGGGCAACATTCCAACAGATGATCACCAAAATGTTTGAGCCACTGTTAGGAAAAATAATGGATTACATTGACGACATGGTTGTTAAGAGCAAGGATGAGAACGACCATCTAAGGGACCCAGGTGAAATGTTCCAGATTCTGAAGAAGCACAAGTTGCGCCTTAATGCATCCAAGTGCGCGTTCGGTATAGGATCTGGCAAATTCCTAGGCTTCCTAGTGACCAACCGGGGTATTGAAGCAGACCCCTCCCAGATCAAAGCTATTCAGGATCTAGAGAGGCCTAATTTAGTAAAAGAAGTGCAATATCTCACCGGCATGGCAGCTGCACTCAACTGATTCATTAACCGGTCGTCAGACAGACTACAACCATTTTTTCAAGCGTTAAAAACCAAGTTCGAGTGGGACGAAGAATGCGACCGCGCTCTAGAAAGCTTGAAAGAATATATGTCTTCTCCACTATTGCTGGTCACCATAATACCTGGAGAAGAACTCTTCCTGTACCTGGCGGTCTCTCAGCATGCAGTTAGCATAGTGTTGGTCCGTGCGGAAGGAATCCAACATCTGCCCATCTATTATGTCAGCAAGACATTACTGGGTGTCGAAACAAGGTACTTGCCACTGGAAAAATTGGCATTGGCCTTGATGATGGCATCAAGGAAGTTGTCGCACTACTTTCACGCCCACACCATAGTTGTCCTCATAGCTTTCCTATTAAAAGCTCTGTTTGAAAGGGCGAACTTTTCTGGGAGAATCTTGAAGTGGGCAGTAGAGTTGAGACAATTCGACATCAAGTTCCAACCCAGAACCGTGATAAAAGCCTAAGCTTTGGCAGACTTTGTCATAGAATTTACCCCAGGAGATCATCATATCTGCCCAGTCGACCTGACTGACATAAACGTACTAGGGGAGGAAGTTGACGCCGGAATAGCGCAACCCCTGGTGCAGGATACTCAGTCGGACCCCAATGCAGACCAGAATAATGAAAACAAGGAAGAAGCGAACCAAGCTACACCAAGCCTAGACTCACCAACAAATAAAAACTTGATACAATCAGATAGCGAGGGGCAGACAGCAAGCATGGACCTTGAAGAAAACACCAGCAACATTCTTGACCCCACGACATCATCTGACCCCTCCACATGCTGGAAGTTGTTCGTTGGAGAGATGTGGAAGCTCTTTGTGGATGGAGCATCCAACCGGCATGGTGCAGGACTTGGCATAGTCCTTACCTCACCAGACGGCCTGGTTGTGGAACAAGCAATCAACCTTGGCTTCTCAGCTTCAAACAGTGAAGCGGAGTATGAAGCACTTCTTACAAGACTCAAATCAGCATTCTACATGAAGGCCACCGAATTAATGGTCTATAACGACTCACAGCTGGTGGTAAACCAAATTTCTGGCGACTATGAAGCAAAGGATGACAGGATGGACAAATACCAAGAATTGGTCAGAATAGAGATCAAGAAATTTGAAGTAGTAAGGATAGAACAGATTGGCAGGGAGGAAAACAGCAGAGCAGACGAACTAGTAGGTTTTGCGTCAATGGCAGATACATCCATCCCTCACCCACTACTAATTGACTACCTACCAAGGCCAAGCATTGAAGACCCCGAAGTAGAAGAGGTATGTTGCGCCGAATTAGGCCCCTCATGGATGGATCCTATTATACTGTTCTTAAAAGACGGAATCTTACCAGAAGACAAGAAAAAAGCCAACAAAATTCGAGCAAAGTCGCAGCGATTTTGGCTCTCCCCATCCATGGCATTATACAAAAAGTCATTCTCAGGACCTTATCTAAAGTGTGTCCACCCCAGCAAAGTAGAAGCATTCTTGTTCGAAATACACGAAGGGGTGTGCGGAAGCCACCAAAGGGGAAGATCGTTAGCTTACAGAGCCATTTCGCAAGGATACTGGTGGCCATACCTGCAAGCTGACTCAGAGAAGTATGTGAAGAAGTGCGAGAAATGTCAGAAGTTCGCACATCAAATACATCAGCCGACCAGAGAACTCCTACCATTGACCAGCCCATGGCCTTTCGCAATGTGGGGCTTGGACATAGTAGGACCACTTTCAACAGCGCCCGGAAATAGGAAGTTCTTTCTCGCAGCAACAGACTACTTCACAAAGTAGGTGGAAGCAGAAGCATTGGCATCAATCAAGGCAAAAGGTGTGAAGAAGTTCGTTTGGCAGAATATCATTACTCGATTCGGCATACCTAAAGCCTTAATATCAGACAACGGCACCCAGTTTGATGGCAGAATCTTTAGAGGCTTTTGTGAAGAATACAAAATAGAGTTCTACAATTCTACACCAGCATATCCCCAAGCCAACGGCCAGGCAGAAGCATCAAACAAGGTCATCTTAGATGGACTGAAGAAAAGGTTAGAGAAGGCAAAAAACAAATGGGCGAAGGAACTTCCTCATGTTTTATGGGCTTACCGCACCTCACCTCGACGATCAACAGGAGAAACACCATTCTCCTTAGCCTATGGCATGGAAGCAGTAATCCCGCTGGAAGTTGGCCTCCCCACAATTAGAAGCGAAAATTTTGATCCAGACTTGAATGGAGAAGCCATAGCATTGGGGCTCGACCTTGCAGAGGAAAGAAGAGACAGAGCACTGGTTCACATTGCCTCATACCAACAAGAGTTATCCAGGAAATACAACAAAACAGTACATCCAAGGCAATTCAAGATCGGAGATTGGGTATTGCGCAAAGTAATGGGAAACACCTTGGTTCTAGGAGATGGCAAGTTAGGCCCCAATTGGGAAGGACCTTACAAAGTCATTAGATTAGCCGGCAAAGGGGTATACCACTTAGAAGATGAGGACGGCAAAGCAATTCCCAGGCCATGGAATACTGCCAATTTCAAACTATTTTATTTTTAGCTTTTCTTCAAAATACTTGTAATTTTTCTTTTCCCCAATAAAACAAGTAGTTTTTTTAGTATAAGTGTTTTATTCTGTAAAAATTGTTTTAGCAAATTAGGGGCATTGAAAACATGGTTGGCTGGAAAAACCAACACTCTTCCTAAGCCCAGGATAAGGATCCAGGCTGCAGGACGTTTGGTCGGAATACCCAAATACTATACTTTAGGTTGGTTGGAAAAACCAATCTAAAGGTTGGATGGAAAAACCAACACCCTTCCTAAGCCCAGGATAAGGATCCAGGTTGTAGGACGTTTGGTCGGAATACCCAAACACTATACTTTAGGTTGGCTGAAAAAACCAATCTAAAGGTTGGTTGGAAAAACCAACACCCTTCCTAAGCCCAGGATAAGGATCCAGGCTGCAGGACGTTTGGTCGGAATACCCAAACACTATACTTTAGGTTGATTGGAAAAACCAATCTAAAGGTTGGCTGGAAAAATCAACACCCTTTCTAAGCCCAGGATAAGGATACAGGCTGCAGGACGTTTGGTCGAAATAATCAAACACTTTACTTTAGGTTGGCTGGAAAAACCAATCTAGAGGTTGGCTGGATTAAACCAACTCTTAGTACTCTTTAGCCGAAGTAAGGGCATCGGCTAAAGAGTGGTTGGCTGGATTAAACCAACTCTTAGTACTCTTTAGCCGAAATAAGGACATCGGCTAAAGAGTTGTTGGCTGGAAAAAACCAACTTAGAGGTTGGCTGGATTAAACTCTTATTACTCTTCAGCCGAAGTAAGTATATCGGCTATAGAGTGGTTGGCTAGTAAGCTCAGTCAGATTGCTCAGCTAAGACCGGAATAAAGTATCTCGGCCAAAAATATTGTGTTTCGTTCAAGTTGCAGTTACAAAGCAAGCACAAACAGGAAAGTAAACCGAGATAACAGTTGGAGCAAAAGAATTCATTGAAAAACTCATTACAAGTGCAAGCATACAGGTCAAACCGGAATAAGTGTTGAATACAAAAGATGATTTTCATTGATCAAATTCAAAGCGAAATACAAAGGAGGGGCTTCAGCCCGGTTACAAGACCAAAAACAAGAAAAGAAAAATACAAAATCAGTTAAAAAGATCATCTATTTCAGCGTCAAGATCAGCATCAATATCAACACGAAGCCCGGTTTCGGACGGTGGCACGGCCTCGGTTGAGAGCTCGGTGTCAGCTGGAGGTACGGTTTCAGTAGGGAACTCGCCGGTCAGGTCTTCCACCAATGGCTCCAACCGAACTGATTGTTCGACAGGGTCACTGACAACCGGAGTATCCTTTGGCACAGCTTCTTCTTCATCATCATCTGAGTCCTCAAGAAACTGTTGCTGAAGAGCAGCAGCATATTCCGCCATAGAGCCCGGAATGAAGTATGTTGGAGCGTTGAAGACCTCAGTCCCTAGACCGTGATCGAGCTGCTCTACAGTCGCTCTCCAACCGCACTTGAAGAAGAGATCCTTGGCAGCTTCACATTGTTTGATATAAAGGGCTTCGCCCTCCTTGAAACCTCGGAACTCAGCGTCTTCTGCCTTCTTCTTCAGCTCCGTTATCTCGGCGTCCTTCTTACCTTCGAGCTTAACTAGCTCATGAAGGTACTTATCCTTCATCACAGCTAGGGCCTTCTGTTTGTCTGCATCGGCCGAGGTAACTAGTCTGGTCAGACGAGCTACCTCGGTCTCTAGCTCGGCCGTTTTCTGGTAGGACTCCTTCAGTTCGGTTGTTTTTGCTTCAACCTTTGCCATGGCTTGCCTTGCTGTGTTCCTGAGCTCCAACACCTTTTTATGCGCAATTTGGCCCTTTTGCATGACCTGAAAAAAAAAAAAAAAACACCGAACAGAAAGTTGGTGATATTTAGAGAGACAAGAAAAACAACTTACCAGGATCATTGATTTCGTGGCCGAGAGGATGGCCTTTAGCTCGGTCAAGTTCTTGTGGTGTTCCATGTCGGCTGGGAGGCACACACTCTTGGCAAGGTTGAAAGCCATCAGATGGTCTTTTTCAGCGACAACTGAATCAATGTCCTGAATATTACGGTTCTGGAAAGTCAGTTTGGGTGCCCATTTGGAAGAGCTGGCTCGGTCGGCGTGTTCCGGTTGCGAGCTCGATGGAGGGCTTGGTGGCAGAGTGGTTTCGTCCTCATCAACTAAGCGTTGTTCGGTCTGGGTAGTACGGGCGCGCTTAGTTCGGCGTGATAAGGAGGGTTGTTGTGATGGTAAGGCCACCACGGTTTCTTGTGTTTGGTTTGGTGGTGGTACCTCGGCCCTGTTTGTCTCGGTCAAGAGGGCCCTGACTCTGTTTTTCTTGGCCATTTCTTCTTCAGCAGTTAGTGGGATTAGGTTAATTTGTGGCAAGGTTGGGTCCGGTTCGGGGGCGTCCTCCAACAAAAAATCAGTTACTCTGGCTTTTCAGCAGCCGCTGTATTTGTATGTCGGTTTGAAATTTAGAAGTTTGGCCCAATTTCTTTCTGGAAAACGTAGTGCGGCGCAGATAGTGTTCAGGTTGGGGTAACTGTACAAGGATTGAAGATGGGCTGAATCTGCATAAAGAAGACAAACTGTTAGTTCGGATCAGGAACGGGTAACTGAAATAAAACAAAGCATGCCAACAAACCGAAGTAATTATACCAGGTTCTCCTTTATTCCAGTTTATACTTCGGCCAGGGATCTGGGCTTGCTGATATTCAAAATTACCAGACACCCAGAAAAAGTCATCGTCATTCAAGTCTTTGTCCGGTGTGTCTTTTATTATTTTTTCTCGGCGGCGGCGTATTCTAAGATAGTAAACCCAGCCGTCTTTTTTTGACCCTATGGAGTACTGGTGGAACAGTTCGGCTAAGCCGAGGTTAATGCCAGCTTGGCGGTTTAGCTCGGCTATGCCCATTATTATGCAGTATGAGTTGGTGGAAAGCTGGGTTGGGCATATTCTCGTTTGTCTAAGGAATTCACAAATTAAGGGTTGGACTGGAAATCTTAGTCCGGTTTCTATTATTGATAAAAGGATAAAGGGTACAAAGCCCTAGTTTCCCCAATGTATAGCATCTTTTTTGGCTAAGGTTAGGTGGACATCGTCAGGGATGTTATAATCCCTTCGGAATTCGGCCAAGCCATATGGTGTTTCTACTAAAAACCTATATTTACCCATTTATTCCTAAGTTATGTATAAATTATGCTTGGTGCTAGCTCGGTCGGAAAATGTTGCTGTGTAGCTCGGTTGAGCGATCAAAAGGAGTGCCTGGGCAACCTAAGTCTGCAAAGTGAAAAACAGAAGTGTTAAGCATAGATCTTTAGACCGTGCTACAAAGTAAAAACAAGTAAGTCTTACTTCGGCTTTGTGAAATATTGCAGGTCCTATCTCGGTTTCAGCAAGGTGCTTGGTAACTCGGTTGGGGCAAGTGATTTGTTAGACCGGTTGAAATTCTAGGGGCAGCTTTCTTAGTTTGGTCTGAACTAAGAGTGCTGGTTTAGCCCTAAGATAGTTCGGTCGGAATTGAGGCCTTCAAACACACTAAGTGCAGACTTAGTTCGGTTTGTTATCTCGGCTAAGAGAAATCAGAAAATGTTTTTTTGACTTGTTAAAACTACTGGTACAAGTGTTGGTTCGGTTGAATGGTCTGGATAGACTTACACATAGCATAAACAGTATCCTAGTTCGGTTGAGACGTGTTTATGGATTAAACAGAGTGTTCTACAGATTGCTTCGTAGAGTTCATGGGGTTCTCATAAAGTTTTTTCCCAGAAAACGTAAGGCAGAAAAAGCAAAAATAGTGTTTTGTAAAAACACACAAAACAAAATGTAGTAGATTGAACAAGTGCGAAAACAAGAAAAATAAAACAGATTTGTAATGCTTACCTGATGAAGATTGAACAGCCTAGAGGATGGGAGCACACGACAGCAGCAAAACACAAGCTTCACAGTTGCAAGGTTAAAGGACATTGGAGGTTAGAAGAGAGAGAGAAGGAGATGAGTAGTGATTCAAAATAGTAAGGGTTTGTTTTGTGTAGATGGAAGGACGCAAAGGCAGGAACTGTTCAAAAAAAACACAAGGTACGAGGGCCGCGTGACAGCTGCCTTCAGCCAATAAAAGCATGCCACGTGTCCATGAAATGAGAAGCGTTTTAGTTGCTATGATTGAAGGAACGTTTTGACCGGATAGGTACAGCCCGGTGTGAATTTAGCTCGGCTGGAAAGGCTAAGATGGTTTTTAGCTTGGCTGGAAAGGCTAAAGGGTTTTTTAGCTCGGCTGGAAAGGTTAAAACTTTAGCCTGGTTTATAGACAGGTAATCCCTATCATGCTACGCAGATGGAATTAAGGGTCAATTGAGAGGGGAATTTATATGTAAATTGGGCCGAGTTGGGCCGTTGTGGGCCTTAGTGCGAAGGGTTGAGTAAAAATGCCACAAAGTTACTCCGGTCCTAAAGAGGTTAGCTCGGTCACCATACTAAAACGTGTACCGGTTGTCGCAGTATGGTTAGTTCGGTCGCTATAGTTAGTTCAGTCATGGCATAGGGAACCGAAGTATACTGAGCCCTCTTCAGGACTTGGTTTTGGATTAGTTCGGCTTAAACTCTTCTATGGATAGCTCGGTCTTGGCATGTGAAGCCGAGGTAGGAGAAAAACAAGGAAGAGCCGAACTAACAGTTAGATCGGTCACTCTAGTTAGTCTAGCATGGCAATGTTATTTCGGTTGTATGGTAGTCCGGCCATGGTAAAACCATCTCACTTGGTTTAAGCAGTGAGGAGGGTGTTGAAGGATAAGCATTATCTTCCAGGAGTATGAATCCTAGAAGGACTCTACATGGAGGAGTAAGAGTCCTATTTGGATTGTGCCACACGGAACCTATAAAAGCTCACAAACATCACCTCTGGAGAGGTAACACACAACTTTGATTCTTGAATACACAGAGTTTTTGTCTTTGTCCATTTTTCTGACTTAGGCATCGGAGGGGTTTTCGGCACACACCCGCCGACTAACTCACGTTTGTGTTTTTAGGGAGTAAAGCGACGACGTTTGGAAGAGCGCAGACTTGATCAATAGGATTATACGAGAAGGTTTATTTCTTTCCCGTACAAGTAAAATTATAATTTGAGAGGCTTACTAAACGAAGCCGGAATGATTTTGAAAACAACCCTAGAACAAAAGTTAAGTTCCACGATGCACGAACTCAATTCATGTCTGGGTTGCTCCAAGAATATGAATCCTCAATACGCTTCAGAAAAAAAGTTTTCTAACTTTCAAATAAATAAGGTGAAATAAAACAAAAAAAGAACATCTTATTTATTTATTTCTTTCTTTCTTTTCCAAATTAACTCAATTCTCATTGATTAGAAAAAAAACAAAAGGTGTATTTCCAAATTAACTTTTTTTCTGGTTGAATTTTGTTTTTAGTTTAATTACACTTTAGAATCAAATACTTAATTTGATCACTACACTTTTAATTATAACGATCAATTTCTTACACTTTCAATCAAGTTACAATATCACTATTTCAACATTAATAAAATTTAATTAAACTTATTATGTGAACAATACGTGACATTTTGCTTATCTCATTAACACTCTTATATTTTTATTAAAATTTCACATAAATCATTGTAATTTTTACCAAATCTCACAACCACCACTAGAAAATGCTAAAAACATTTTTAATTTTCTGCTGAAACAAGGAAGAAAGCCCTGTGTTTCCAGTTAGCAGCACAAATTCTATTATGAGAGTAGGGAAAATCTCAAGTGACTGTTAATTAGAGAATTAGGGAAAACTGGAAAACTTCAAAATTGGATTGAATTGAAGACCACTTGATTTCATAAAGTAGCTAGTAAGTATATATATATATATAAAGTGGCTATATTTACAACAAAATCAAAACTATATCTTATTCGCATGTTTTGACATAGCTTTCCAAGGCAAACATTGGAGCTTAGAGCAAGGCTCAACCCATGTAGTTTTGCATTCTTCTCCAGGTCCATCACAACACTTGCATACCAATCCTAGTGTTCCAAGCATCTTTGACAATCCTATAAATAATCATTTCACAAAATCAGTACAAATATATATATATATATATATAGAGAGAGAGAGAGAGAGAGAGAGAGTAAATTGCTTACTTTGTTGAGGTGGGGAAGAAAGTGGTCTGGCTTCTGCAAATCTTGGCCTTTTAGTAGTTGTGAAGCTAAACACCAAAAGCAACACGAGGAGGGGAAGCAGAGAAGGCTTGAAGAACATACCCATGTTTCTTTTGGTGGTTTGAACAAGGTCTATGTTTGTGGGAAGACTGATATCATGGGTTGGTGTACATATACTTATCAACAAGTGAATTATTTATATTTTAGCGACCTAGACTTACAATAGTGAGTCTTTTTTTTGTAAATTATGAAGATGATTAATTTAATCTAGAAGGATGGCTCTTGGAACAAAAGTATATCAGTAATAATATAACATATTAAGAAATTTTATTTAATCTCAATCACACATTTTTATTCTAATTAAAATTCTTAATCTATTTTGATGAACCAAGGCATTGTTTGTCAACAATATATTTTAGCTAAAAAGTTAAAAAGTCGCTACAAGTTATGACATTACTCTCTCTATTTTTCTGCACATCTTTTCATTAAAAGTAAAAAAATTATTAAAATAATATGTTTCCAAACGAGTCCTAACTTTACTAAAAAGTAAAATTATTCTATTTTTTTAGAACATTATGATTGTTGTGTGTACTCACCCAATAACTGAAGTTATATATTTATAGATTTAAATAATAATAATTACAAACAAATTACAAAAAATCATTAGTGGACAAGCTTTGCCGTTGCTATTGCACATTTTGATAATTCAAACCAAGTAGAATATATTTTTAAAAAATTAAGTTAAATAGATATCGGTAGGCTACCTTTTCATTAAATTACATTTGTATTTAATTGTATATTTTAAATTACACTTATCTTTTATTCTTTTAGATACAAATGTAATTTGATGAAAATACTACTGACATTCGATCAAATTGATTTTTTACAAATATATTTTACTTGATATCTTTTAAAAAATGAATAATTTAAATTATCAAAATAGGCCATGAAATGAGTCCAATTGATCATGTTTGAAGAGGGGCTAAAATAGCTAAAGGATTAAAAAAAAACAAAAAATATTACAAATTATCACATAACTCCCTTTATTTTTTTATACTTTTTTTTTTAAAAAAAAATAAAAAAATCAATTTTCAAATCCCTTGCACAACTTGCAACTCCAAAACCTAGTGAACACACTTTTGGACTCATGTGAATTTTTTTTTTTTTTTTAGCAAAAATAGAGTAGGCTTCTAGAATAGAAAAGGATGGGTGTAAACACGTTTTCACATTCCTTACGTTTCTTTGTTTGTGGGGTTTGGTTTGGTTTGGTTGGATGGAAGTTTCCGCTTAAACATCTAGTGGGACGTCGTGATGTCGGAGTCACCCACCTTTGTGCACAATTGTTTGAATATTTTCTTTCATTCCTGTTTTTTTTTTTTGGATCTTTCAACAAAGTCATCAAGTGGGCTCCCAAATCAGTGTGTATTCGTGAACTTTGGTTTTTATTTTCCTATTCATTTCAGACTATAATATATATATTTATAAGGAGTACAATAATTCATTGATTGATAAGACAAACTATAGAGCAAAGAAGGGGGGGCATCCCCCTAACTCAAAAACCAGCAGCAAAACAACATTTGCATTGACTCCTCAAGTCATCTCCAATCATCACACAAATAACAAGTAATTACTCACAAAATGTGTTAATAATTTTATTCAAAATATGACTATGGAGGTCGATATGTTAAATTATGGGCTGTTTGAAAATTATTTTTTGTAAAGGTTTTTATAAAAATATATATCAAAAAGTAAAAATAATAATTTAATAACTTGTAGCGAAGTTTTAGTTTTTTTTTTTTTAAAATAAAATAAAATAAATGAAGGGGCAGTTTGGAGTATTTTTCACTCAAATTTGAATTTATGTTGATTTGAGTAATGGTCTAGACTATCTACAAGATAATACCCTAATTAACAAGCTTAGGAGGCTAAGATCTAAATCCATGAGCATTATTCAAACATAATGATGTATTACACCCCATTCCACACTCAAAGGAGACTACAAAAAATTTTGTGTTTCCAAGTTTCTTTTTTTTGATTGGTAAACTTTACTAATCTTTCTTAATATTTGGGAAATATACAAAAATTTTCATTTTCACAGTCATATGAATAAAAAAAAATTATTATTATTTTTACATTAAAATATATATTTTAGCATTCATTATTCATATGTTCATACACCACCCACACTAGTTATGTTTGTTTTAGTATATATTATAAATAAAGGGATCAGCATACTTATGTCAAATTTTTATAGAATTTTTTTTTTTATTCAAATCTCAGGAGTAGCTATCCTTTTTTTATAAATAAAAAAAAAAATGATATTCACACTTTGTTTTTAACAAAAATTTTATATTCACACTTTGTTTTTAACATGCAAGTGATTGAAAGTAGACTGTTAATTCTAAATCAATTAGTGATAAATTACCAATATCTTGAAACCTACATTGAAAAACATTCAATTATATAAGAAAGTTTAATAATACATAAAAAAAATTAAAAAATGAAAGAAAAAAAACACAGTAAATTCAATTATTACAACAATTGTATTGTCAAAGATTTCAAATTGTCTTGTAATGGATGTCTTTAGGGCACATATTTAAGTCACTTTATAAAAAAAAAAAAAAAATTATACATTTCTTATTGCACTTACTTTTACACAAATGTAAAATGAAAAATGAATATTCAACACTAATTAATTAATGCAACATAAATTCTAGTACTGTCTAATTTGGGAGTGGTTATTGGGTGTTCCTGGAGTACAGCTATGTAATGTTTCAATGTGTTGTGATTTGTGGAGAAGATACAACCCATAATTTTGTATAGAGTGATTGAAGAATATAAAAAGACATAATATATGATAATTAGTCCTAAAATATAAACACATGGCGTTTCAGAAATATTTAATAATTTTTCCTATTGCGGTTAAATGTTTTCCTACTCTAATAATTGGTTGTAATAAAAGCGTTTGAGAATCGTTTTTTTGTCCGCTAAAATTAGTAGCCCTAATTAGGATTTTAAATTAGAGTCAAGTCGATCCTGGTAAAGCAGGAACATTATTATTTGGTCAAAAATTTGTACCAGGCTGTGCACCTACACCATTTCAATTGGTTGAGCTCTCTATTGCTGGTGAGTCTACCATTACCCACTGGTCATTATTGTCTATTCATTGCAGTATCAACAAATTAGGGGTGTTTTGAAAACTTTTTAAAAAAAAAAGTTAGTTTTTTAACTTTTTAATTTTTTTTATACAATAAAATCACAAAACACAAATGTAAAATGAAAAATGAATATTCAACACTAATTAATTAATGCAACATAAATTCTAGTACTGTCTATTTTGGGAGTGGCTATTGGGTGTTCCTGGAGTACAGCTACGTGATGTTTCAATGTGTTGTGATTTGTGGAGAAGATATAATCTATAATTTTGTATAGAGTGATTGAGGAATATGAAAAGACATAATATATGATAATTAGTCCTAAATATAAACACATGACGTTTCAGAAATATTAAATAGTTTTTTCTATTTTGGTTAAATGTTTTCTGACTCTAATAATTGGTTGTAATAAAAGCGTTTGAGAATCGTTTTTTTGTCCGCTAAAATTAGTAGCCCTAATTAGGATTTTAAATTAGAGTCAAGTCGATCCTGGTAAAGCAGGAACATTATTATTTGGTCAAAAATTTGTACCAGGCTGTGCACCTACACCATTTCAATTGGTTGAGCTCTCTATTGCTGGTGAGTCTACCATTACCCACTGGTCATTATTGTCTATTCATTGCAGTATCAACAAATTAGGGGTGTTTTGAAAACTTTTTAAAAAAAAAAGTTAGTTTTTTAACTTTTTAATTTTTTTTATACAATAAAATCACAAAAAAGTCAGCTTTTTTAACGCACAAAGCTAAAAAATCATTAAAAAAAAATCAAAAAATCAATTTTTTACCAACTTTCTAATGTGGTTAGAATATCCGTTGGTAGTAGTGTTGGACTACCCAATAACTTCCTATAAAGTAAGTTAAAAAAATAAATAATAGTTTAAAATTTTACAAAATTTTAGAGACACGTTCTAGTCAAATTCAAATGACTTGATTTGTTTATAATTGAGTTTTAAATTTTGTTAAAGACTGAGTTACTTATAAATAAGCTTATTTCAAATAAGTTTTATTTAGAATGAGTTCAAACAACTTTAACCCAAATCAATTTGAGAATAAAATTTGAAAACGAAAGAGAAATGAAAATGAAGTACTCCTATAAAGTATTCATTTTTCCCTTAAAAAAATCTCTTTATATAAATCTAAGATTCAAATAAAGGCCAAAGCAAACTATAATAAAGTAATCAATCTATATGACTTATAACATATAACATAAGGATGATAATACAAGAAGTTAACAAGCAACTTTCACGAGTCATTTTACTTACTAGATAACAATATGAGGTCTTCCATTCATGCTTTTGAAAGTTCAAAAGTGAAAACAAAAACAAAGGGAAAGTTGTTAAGAATTTCGCCGGCACAACCAATGGTGGATCTAGGGGGGTTAGCATTCATTATTCATATGTTCATACACCACCCACACTAGTTATGTTTGTTTTAGTACATATTATAAATAAAGGGGTCAGCATAATTATGTCAAATTTTTGTAGAATTTTTTATTTTTTATTCAAATCTCAGGAGTAGCTATCCTTTTTAAAATTTAAAAATAAATAAAATTGATATTCACACTTTGTTTTTAACATGCAAGTGATTGAAAGTAGACTGTTAATTTTTTTTTCCCCTTTTATTAAATCAATTAGTGATAAATTACCAATATCTTGAAACCTAAATTAAAAAACATTCAATTATATAAGAAAGTTTAATAATACATAAAAAAAAAACGCAGTAAATCCAATTATTACAACAATTGTACTGTCAAAGATTTCAAATTGTCTTTTAATGGATGTCTTTAGGGCACATATTTAAGTCACTTTATAAACAAAATAAAAAAATTATACATTTCTTATTGCACTTACTTTTACACAAATGTAAAATGAAAAATGAATATTCGCCACTAATTAATTAATACAACATAAATTCTAGTACTGTCTATTTTGGGAGTGGTTATTGGATGCTCCTGGAGTACAATTACGTGGTAATGTGTTGTGATTGGTGAAGAAGGTATAATCCATGATTTTACATCAAGTGATTGAGAAAT